GACCCTGACGCCAGCTGCCGTACATTTGGAGTTTGCGTGTCCCTCTCTCATCATCATCATCATGGTGGCTATGAGATGTTAACTCCCTCGCCTGGTATACAGGAGGTCGAGGGTTTGACCCTGACGCCAGCTGCCGTACATTTGGAGTTTGCGTGTCCCTCTCTCATCATCATCATGGTGGCTATGAGATGTTAACTCCCTCGCCTGGTATACAGGAGGTCGAGGGTTTGACCCTGACGCCAGCTGCCGTACATTTGGAGTTTGCGTGTCCCTCTCTCATCATCATCATGGTGGCTATGAGATGTTAACTCCCTCGCCTGGTATACAGGAGGTCGAGGGTTTGACCCTGACGCCAGCTGCCGTACATTTGGAGTTTGCGTGTCCCTCTCTCATCATCATCATGGTGGCTATGAGATGTTAACTCCCTCGCCTGGTATACAGGAGGTCGAGGGTTTGACCCTGACGCCAGCTGCCGTACATTTGGAGTTTGCGTGTCCCTCTCTCATCATCATCATGGTGGCTATGAGATGTTAACTCCCTCGCCTGGTATACAGGAGGTCGAGGGTTTGACCCTGACGCCAGCTGCCGTACATTTGGAGTTTGCGTGTCCCTCTCTCATCATCATCATGGTGGCTATGAGATGTTAACTCCCTCGCCTGGTATACAGGAGGTCGAGAGTTTGACCCTGACGCCAGCTGCCGTACATTTGGAGTTTGCGTGTCCCTCTCTCATCATCATCATGGTGGCTATGAGATGTTAACTCCCTCGCCTGGTATACAGGAGGTCGAGGGTTTGACCCTGACGCCAGCTGCCGTACATTTGGAGTTTGCGTGTCCCTCTCTCATCATCATCATGGTGGCTATGAGATGTTAACTCCCTCGCCTGGTATACAGGAGGTCGAGGGTTTGACCCTGACGCCAGCTGCCGTACATTTGGAGTTTGCGTGTCCCTCTCTCATCATCATCATGGTGGCTATGAGATGTTAACTTCCTCGCCTGGTATACAGGAGGTCGTGGGTTCGACCCTGACGCCAGCTGCCGTACATTTGGAGTTTGCGTGTCCCTCTCTCATCATCATCACGGTGGCTATGAGATGTTAACTACCTCGCCTGGTATACAGGAGGTCGTGGGTTCGACCCTGACGCCTGCTGCTGCTGTATATTTGGAGTTTGCGTGTCTCTCTCCCCGTGGTCGCGTGGATTTTTCTCCGGGTCCCCCCCCCCCCCTTCACGTGAACCTCATGGCGGTCCCCAGGGTGCCATAGTCACCCGTCTCTCGCACAATGTCCGTGACGCAGTCATTCTTCGTCTGTTGATGGTCGGCGAAGCGGCAATCGACTCGTCTCGACTCGAGCTGGACACCACGATGCACCACCACCACCACGATGCACCACCACCACGATGCACCACCACCACGATGCACCACCACCACCACGGTGCACCACCACCACCACGATGCACCACCACGATGCACCACCACCACCACCACCACCACCACGATGCACCACCACCACGGTGCATCACCACCATGCACCACCACCACGGTGCACCACCACCACCACGATGCACCACCACCAGCACGGTGCACCACCACCACCACCACGATGCACCACCACCACGGTGCACCACCACCACCACCACCATGCACCACCACCACGGTGCACCACCACCACCACGGTGCACCACCACCACCACGATGCACCACCACCACCACGAAGCACCACCACCACCACAATGCACCACCACCACCACCAGCACGGTGCATACCGCGAGCGTTCAGGGTTTCGACGCAGTCGTCCTCGCTGCGTTTCGACATCGCGGAGTGGCGGCACCGATGTCGGATTCAGTGGTACCCCAGTCGCGCAGTGAAGTACACCCCCTGGGAAAAAAATTGCGTCCCAGAATAAAATATTTAATTGCCTCGGCCAGTTTGTATTATTGTTACCCTGGGTTACCGCCATAAGCATCACTTTTAGAATCAACATCACCACGCGTTGAGATGATTTGGCTGCTGCTGCTGTAAATGTCCACGTTACGGATAATCCCCCTTCGCTGAGCAGCTATCATTTGTGATGGGCAGTTCGCTTCTGGAAAAAATAAGAGCTACTCCCTGCCTCAGTGGAGGGCTTACCTGGTCAAATTAAACAGAGCCGTTTAAAAATATATAGAAACATTATAAGGACATTATCGTAAAAGCACAGGAAAGTTCATCCCCACCCTAAAACTCAAAACTCGAGAACAAACGAAAAACCATCTAGCCCCAGGAACAGAACAGCAGCTGTTACATCTTCAAAATTAAAAAAGGAGAGAGATATATTACAAAAAATGGATAGAATGATGACTATCTTTACGGGGCATCTGTTCAGAAAAGCGGGGGTTGGTTGGGGAATATGTTCCATGAAATAAAATATTTAAAAAAAGATCCAGCCGCACACTTGAATAGAATGCTTTCTAGAAGATGGGTGGGGGTTGGACGGGGTGGGTGGGGGGTGGGTGGGGTGGGGTGTGGGGGTGTGGTGGGGTTGAGTGGGTGGGGGGGTGGGGTGGGGCCGGGTGGAGTGGGGGTGGGTGCGGTGGGTGGGGTGGGGGGGTTGGGGTTGGGTGGGTGGGGGGGTGGGTTGGGGTGGGGTGGGGTGGGTCAGGCTGGTGGTATGGGTGGGCGGGGTCGGTGGGGTGGATTGGGGTGGGGTGGGATGGGGGGGTGGGTTGGGGTGGGGTCGGTGGAGGGGATGGGACGGGTGGATGGGGTGGGGTGGGTGGGGTGGGTGGGGTGGATTGGGGTGGGGGGGTGGGTTGGGGTGGGGTGGATTGGGGTGGATTGGGGTGGGGGGGTTGATTTGGTTTTTTTTTGGGGGGGGGGCAGGAGGTGAATGGACAAAGTCTGGACGTTTGGCGGACGAGATAAGTTTCAGAGATGCCACTGCCAAAAACGCGCGGCTCTTTCAGATAAGCGCTCGCCTCCGTCCCGACTTGGTCCGCCGATAAATATAAAATAAAATAATAAAAACCAACCACGCACCCCACCGCCCCCGCCCGCGTGTCCTCAATCAGACAAACAGCGGTGACATTTAATCAGCAGTGATATACGCGCGATATTCACCCACCGCGGGCGATATGGACGATGAAATTACCGCAATCAATCCGCCGTTGTCGATGATTGTACAGCGATGCGGTCAGTAGACAGAGACACAGAGAGAGAGACAGAGAGAGAGCGGACAAAGGAAATCCAACACATGCACTTGCATTCGCTGGTATTATTAACACACGGACCGAGGACTGCCCGACATTATAAATAATGAAACGTATTTCCACCGAGTCTGCGGAAAAAGTCCCAATAGAATGCGGTTTAATATCTTGGAGGCTTGCGAAGGATTTGTTTCAATCTGTCGAAGCGTTCTCCAAGTCATTGCAAATGGGATTTCGTAATAGATTTGTGTGTCCGTGTGTGGGTGTGTGTCCGTGTGTGGGTGTCCGTGTGTGTGTGTCTGTGTGTGGGTGTGTGTCCGTACGTGTGTGTGTCCGTGTGTGGGTGTGTCCGTGTGTGGGTGTGTGTCCGTGTGTGTGTGTCTGTGTGTGGGTGTGTGTCCGTACGTGTGTGTGTCCGTGTGTGGGTGTCCGTGTGTGGGTGTGTGTGTCAGTGTGTATGTGTGTGGGTGTGTGTGTCCGTGTGTGGGTGTGTGTGTCAGTGTGTGTGTCCGTGTGTGGGTGTGTGTCAGTGTGTATGTGTGTGTCCGTGTGTGGGTGTGTGTCAGTGTGTGGGTGTGTGTGTCCGTGTGTGTGTCCGTGTGTGTGTCCGTGTGTGGGTGTGTGTGGGTGTGTGTCCGTGTGTGGGTGTGTGTCAGTGTGTGGGTGTGTGTGTCCGTGTATGGGTGTGTGTGTCAGTGTGTATGTGTGTGTCCGTGTGTGGGTGTGTGTGTCAGTGTGTGTGTCCGTGTGTGGGTTTGTGTCAGTGTGTGGGTATGTGTGTCCGTGTGTGGGTGTGTGTGTTAGTGTGTGTGTCCGTGTGTGGGTGTATGTCAGTGTGTGGGTGTGTGTGTCCGTGTATGGGGGTGTGTGTCAGTGTGGGTGTGTGTGTCAGTGTGTAGGTGTGTGTCAGTGTCGCGGTTAGCGCTAAGCCGTGCTACGAACCCGGCGTCCCGAGTTCGATTCCCGCTCACGGCCAACACCAGTGACGATTATGTGAACCGGTCCTGGGCCTCCCCTAGGTCGACTCAGCCTCAAATCGAGTGCCTGATGCGGTGTGTAAACATCGGGAGACAAAAGCGGCTGGGCGTGGTGTTGGCCACCCACCGCCGGAGTTCACATGTGCTTCTCGCTAAATGCACTTGCCCCAAAAGTCTGTTAAGGCCATCCGGAGGGAGGGGATATTTAGCATCTTGTTAAACACATTTCCGGGATTTTTAACAGTTGACAACGTTCCTGTATTGTATGTGTGTATATATAAAAAACAGAAGCCCCATAAATTACCATTTTAATTGGAGTTATTTGCATGGATCAGCGAACGTACGCAGGGTTCGCGACATCATTCACAAGCAAAGTGGGAACTGGGCAGCACCCGCCACTGGAAACTCATTTTTCTTTATCTTACCAGGTAAGGCCTCTGCTGAGCGACGCTGATTTTTTTCAGAAGTGACCTGGCAATCACAAATGATAGCTCAACGAAGTGGCTCATCACCACCACCATCACCACCACCATCACCACCACCACCAACACCACCATCACCACCACCACCAACATCACCACCACCAACACCATCACCACCACCACCAACACCACCAACACTACCACCAACACCAACATCACCAACACCACCACCATCACCACCACCACCATCATCGTCATCATCGTGTGGGAATTTATAGCAGCAACCAAATGACTCTTAACCGCGTGGTGACGTCGATTCCAAAATGTGGACGGGGAAAGAAACCCGCAGGGACCCAGAGAAAAATCAAAGCGACCACGGGGAGAGAGAGAGAGACACGAAACCTTCAATTACACAGCAGGCGTCAGGGTCGGCATCGAACCCACGAGTTGAGTTGAGTTTGAGTCGAAGGTCGGCAGGTCGCGAGTGGGGTGGGGTAAAGTGTGGGTACAGCTGAGAATGACGGTGAGACTCACCGTGGACACAGCCTCCACCCCCCCCCCCGGGTGGAAGTCGTGGCAGCAAATCCGCTGCTATGAGTCTCTATGAGTCTCTATGTATCGCGCACACACGCGCACACACACACGCACACACACACGCGCACACACACGCGCACACACGCACACACACGCGCGCACACACGCGCGCACACACACGCGCACACACGCACACACACGCACACACACGCGCGCACACACGCGCGCACACACGCACACACACGCGCGCACACACACGCGCACACACGCACACACACGCACACACACGCGCGCACACACGCGCGCACACACGCACACACACGCGCGCACACACGCGCGCACACACACACACACGCGCACACACACGCGGACACACACACACACGCGCACGCACACACACACGCGCACACGCACACATGTAATGAGTTGTAGCGTCACGCGAGTGTAATTAATTTCTAGCCACAGATGACTTCACCAACAAACAGTCGCATTAATAGTCGCACGAGAATCCCGTGTCTTCGCCTGTGCACGTGCACGCGCGCGGCTGGGCACACACGCACACACGCACACACTCACACACGCACACACTCACACACGCACACACGCACACACGCACACAAAGACAAAGATCCTCTCCCCCCACCCACCCACCGTGTAGCCTGCAACAGACTGTTGGGGCAAGTGCTGTTAGCGAGTAGCAGCAGCTGTGAAGGCCGGCACCCTGGCACACGAGCAGGCGGTTGGCCAACAACACCACGCCTGGCCGCTAAACTGACGCTCCTCACTTAACACAGACATACACACAGACACACGCACAAACACACGCACAGACACACGCACAGACACACGCACAGACACACGCACAGACACACACACACGCATTGAGGCTCTTGAAACATTGAGGTTTTTTTTCTACTGAATGATGTTGTGTGATTATTACTGCTGCTGTTGTTGTTGTCAATACGTCCGCAGCAGGATGAAGGCCTTGCCACGCTGTTGATCATGGGTAGGGACTGGAATTCAGAATAACATGAAGAGAGTTTTGTTGTAAAATAGTAATTATGAACAAAATATCTCTTAATTCATATAAATTCACTCATGTACTTGTTTTCCTTCAGCAGAAGTAGAAATATAAATATAGCGAGCGACGTTTCGAGCAACGACCCTCTCTCAAAGAGCAGCATCACGTGCTCTGCAGAAGCGTTGCAACCCAACCCACAACCGCACTCGCCAAACATCGAAACCCACGTACGTGGGTTGGGGCGTTGAATTGTTGGTCGCGCTTTGGGTAAAATTAGCATCGTGATGATGCACTACAAAATAGAAATGATCACGACGTTAATGGGTTGCGTTTGATCGAGATGCGCGACCTCACAGCGAATTGTTTGCTGGTGGTAGTGATGGTGGTGGTGATGGTGGTGGTGGTGATGGTGGTGGTGTCGCTGCACAACGAACAACAAACGGCAAATGCGTTCGTCAACGGCGCTTCTTCAGAGCACGTGATGATGCTCTTTGAGAAGGGCCCTTGCCCGAAACGTCGCCCGTTATATATGTTTATATTTCTACTTGCTAAGTTACCAGTTTGTCGTGAGAGTATTTATACTTTCACGGCAAGCAAATAAATAAATAAATGTGTATACATTGTAATTGAATGATTAAATTCATGATTACTATTTTAAAATACAATTATCTTCATGTTCTGTCGGTAGCCTAATCCCCCTATTCATGACGAACAGTGCGGCAAAGCCTTTATCATGCTGCGGATTTTATGATAATAATACTGGTTGGAACCTCCTGGTTACACCAGCTCACAGGGGATTATTGTGTCCGTCCGTCGTGCAGGGAGGGGCTGGGTGAGGAGGGAAGGGCTGGGTGGGGAGGGGCTGGGTGGGGAGGGTGGGGCTGGGTGGGGGGTGGGAGGGGTGGGGCTGGGCTGGGTGGGGAGGGGCTGGTCACCCCGTGGTGCCCTTATAAAACTCAACGTTTAACCTACTCACGCCGGCTTGTGCCCGCCCTCACAGTCGGGCATATTTGCAGAATACACCACGCTGCCGTTGACCCTGGCCATTGACCGAGCAACCCAACCAGCTCCCTCCGCAGGAATGTGTTAATACATTGTTAATTAATAATTACCACAATAAAAATCTATATCGGTAAAATAACAGCATTAACTCAATATTTCAAGAGGCGCAATGCTCAGTGGTGAATGACGTCTAAGGCAGTGGTGCCCCTTACTGACTCCCACCACCACCACCGCCACGTGCCGCTCCCACCATCACCACCACGTGCCACCACCACGTGCCACCACCACCACGTGCCGCTCCCACCACCACGTGCCGCTCCCACCACCACCACCACCACCACGTGCCACCACCAACACAACCAAGTGCCACCACCACGTGCCACCACCACCACGTGCCGCTCCCACCACCACCACCACAACCAAGTTCCACCACCACCACTACCACCACCACGTGCCACCACCACCACGTGCCGCTCCCACCACCACCACCACCACGTGTCACCACCACCACCACCACGTGCCGCTCCCACCACCACCACCACCACCACCACGTGCCACCACCACCACCACTACCACCACCACTACCACCACCACGTGCCACCACCACCACTACCACCACCACGTGCCACCACCACCACCACTACCACCACCACGTGCCACCACCACCACCACTACCACCACCACCACTACCACCACCACGTGCCACCACCACCACCACCACGTGCCACCACCACCACCACTACCACCACCACTACCACCACCACGTGCCACCACCACCACTACCACCACCACGTGCCACCACCACCACCACTACCACCACCACGTGCCACCACCACCACCACTACCACCACTACCACCACCACGTGCCACCACCACCACCACCACGTGCCACCACCACCACGTGTCGCTCCCACAGCAGCGGGCTGGAGACCCGCGTGGTCGTTTAGGTCGGTTCGACCATACTTCACCAGGCTGGTCAGTGTGTGTGTGGTGAAGGTGTGTGTGTGGTGTGTGTGTGGTGACGGTGTGTGTGTGTTGAAGGTATGTGTGTGTGTGTGGTGAAGGTGTGTGTGTGGTGAAGGTGTGTGTGTGGTAAAGGTGTGTATGTGTGTGTGGTGAAGGTGTGTGTGTGGTGAAGGGGTGTGTGTGGTGAAGTGTGTGTGTGTAGTGAAGGTGTGTGTGTGGTGAAGGTGTGTGTGTGTGGTGAAGGTGTGTGTGTGTAGTGAAGGTGTGTGTGTGGTGAAGGTGTGTGTGGTGAAGGTGTGTGTGTGGTGAAGGTGTGTGTGTTGAAGGTGTGTGTGTGTGGTGCAGGGATGTGTGTGTGTGGTGAAGGTGTGTGTGTGTGTGGTGCAGGGATGTGTGTGTGTGATGCTGGCCACCCACCCTCGCGTGATTTCCCGTGTCGGCCTTCATGAGCGTTGCTACTCGCTACAAAGCCCTTGTCCCATCAGCCTGTTGAAGGCTATACGAGAAGGGGGACCTTTGACTTTGTTTTAGCTATTAAAAGATACAACACAAGGCCGTGTGGAAGTGTCTTGGTCTTCCGCCCAATGTAGCTGAGAAATCGATCGAACGCCATCAGCAGCTGCAGCAGTAGCTACAGCTACAGCAGCAACAGCAGTAGCTGCAGCAGCAGCAGCTACAGCTGCAACAGCAACAACAACATTAGCTGCAGCAGCAACAACAACATCAGCTACATCAGCAACAGCAGGAACAGCATCAACAACAGCAGCAACAGCAGTAGCTGCAACAGCAGCTACAGCAGCATTAGCAGCTACAGCAGTAGCTGCAGCAGCAGCAGCTACAGCTGCAACAGCAACAACAACAGCAGCTGCAGCAGCAACAACAACAACAGCAGCGGCAACAGCTGGAGCAGCAACAGCAGGAACGGCATCAACAACAGCAGCAACAGCAGCTGCAACAGCATCAGCAACAGCAGTAGCTGCAACAGCAGCAGCAGGAACAGCAAGAGCAGCTGCAGTAGCAACACAAGCAGCAGCAACAGCAGCAGCAACAACAACAACAGTCATCGGGTGGTGGTGACGTCACCACGGGGGCTTGTGCCAGGCCAAGTGCACTCGAAGGCGACGTGAAGTTTTCGCACGCCGGCTGGCAGGAGGTCACGGGGCAGAAGACCCAGCAGGTGCCACGGGTCGACTGACTGAGATGAGTGGCCGGTGCACCACTTGTAAAGATAATGCCGCTCGACTGATTCGTGGTGAGACCTATGCTGTTAAACCGGAGGTGGTCATAAGCACACTGCCCATGTATGGGAAACTCTCCACTCTCTTCACAACTGCCCCATTACCAATGGCAAGTTGAGGCGGTGCAGTGTTTGATGGCAAAATACCCAGGCAGGCGTTTAGTACTGGTAGGAACCACCTGGTTACTAGAAGTAGCAGCAGCAACATCAGCAGCAGCAACATCAGCAGCAATTTCAAGGCGCGTGTTCTGACAGGCGATCTTAACGTCCTTCATAGAGGACGGCTCACCACTCTGGGCTGGCCTTCTCGAGGTATGGCTCGCGATCAGTTTTTGAGTCGCGAAATTGAAGGGACCTTGAACGCAATTCCCGGCTGTGCGAAGCCTTTGAAATTGAAATGATGATGTGTGGGGTTTTTTTGTCTTCTATACGTTAATGCACGCGTGCTTATGCAATAATCTCCCCCCCCCCCCGTCTCTCTCTAATATTGCGCGGTGTGCCGGCAAAAAAGGAAATTATAAAGAAGCCACGCTGAGATTGAAATCCCTTTTTTTTATCAAATGTAATAGGCAGAAGATTTTTTTTCTTCTAAGGATACTCTCTCTCTCTCTCGTAATTTCTTTATCTCACTTCCCAAACGAACGGAACTCCACGAATTAATTCCTGATGATTAAACCGTCCGTAGCTTAGTGCCTGCAAGGTGGTCAGAGATCTAAATCGGAATCTTTATTTAGATCGCAGAAGGAATCCGATGAGCTATGAAGGTCTTCGTCACAGACGTTCGACTGGCCGTGAACCTGAAATCCTGCGTTGGAATCTGGATCTCGACCTCAGATTATCACGGTTGGCTTCGTACGGCGCGAAAGAAGTCCAACAGCCGCAGACTACACTACCACGCCCCGCACAAATCTGGTCAAACACAAAGGCAAAGCTCCCCCGTGTAGCCTTAACAGACTGTTGGGGAAAGTGCTGTTAACGGGCACCTATCAAGGCCGGCACGGCACACGAGGCGGTGACCACCAGCACCACGCCCGACCGCCTTTGTCTCCCCATTGGCGAGGTTTCCACACCGCACCGGGTACTCATTTGACGCTGAGTCGACCTAGAGGATGTTCGTCACCGACAGTGTTGACCGTGAGCGGGCATCGAACTCGTTGCTTTTGAGAAGATCCTGACTTGCTCGTGCCGGACGTGTGTGACAAAGAGCTTCATTGCTCTTCGGATTCCTCCGATGATTCTGGATGCAACTACCAGCGGCAAGTTACAGGACTCGAAGTGTAAACATTGTGAGTTGACTCTCCAGCACACCGGCTCGTGCCGAACTCGTCACTAATTGTTCTTGGTTCTTTCGGTAAAGTCACGTAGAATGGAAATAATAAAATAATAAAAATTAAACATAATAAAATAATTCTCACGACGTTTCGGCCACAACGCAAGCAGCCGTCCTCAGGTGGAGAACAGGTCTGTCAGACGCTGTCTTTCCGACAGACCTGTTCTCCACCTGAGGACGGCTGCTTGCGTTGTAGCCGAAACGTCGTGAGAATTATTTTATTGTTTTATTTTTCATAATCAACGTTTTTGGGTTTAGATCGCGTTTATTTATAAATGTGTCGTAACCCTCCACCATCCGACACGGCCAATCAGTAAAAATGTGTCACGTTGACAAAGACAAATAGTTCACTGCTTTAGCCCACCGGTGTGTTGAAGCCACAACATTTACAATTTGAGTACGACGTTTCGCTGGTAATTGCAACCAGCATCATCGGGCAATTCGCCAGAATGGTGTTGCCCGATGATGCTGGTTGCAATTACCAGCGAAACGTCGTACTCAAATTGTAAATGTTGTGGCTTCAACACACCGGTGGGCTAAAGCAGTGAACTATTTGTCTTTGTCAACGTGACACATTTTTACTGATTGGCCGTGTCGGATGGTGGAGGGTTACGACACATTTATAAATAAACGCGATCTAAACCCAAAAACGTTGATTATGAATAACATTGGTCGCGAAAGCCTACGTGTTAAATGTTTTATTTTTATTATTGTATTATTTCCATTCTACGTGACTTTACCGAAAGAACCAAGAAGATGAATCCCTGCAGTCACGAAAGCTTTAAATCGAACTCGTCAATAATTGTCACGTTTCGTTCACGTGAAGACACTCTACTGATTGGCTGTGTCG